ATACTCAGGAATGAGGTATTCTAACACAACAGAACCAGGACGAACTCGAAGAAAATAAAAATATAATGAGGAATGTCACATTCTTTTGGTATTGCACTACGAAAGAAGAATAGGTCATCTAGTGTGTAGTCATCACGATCAACCTTAGCAATCAATACTTTTGTGCCATGAGGAGCGTCTGTTATTCCAAATTCTAAAGCATCAGCATCTTTCAATAGTCCACCACTGTTTATAAAATAATCCTTTAACTTCTCTTCATATGCTGACCAGGTTCTCTTTAATGTACGATTGTCACTCAAGAACACACGAACAAGTTTAATTATCAGTTCATAGTTGAACCATGATACATACTTATCTTGCAAAATGATAAAAAGATCAGTCATTGTTTTAATGTCACTAAACTCTTCTCTAACTGCTTGTACTGCAGCTGGATTATTTTTTCTGATAGGACCCAACAGAGCATGAACATGCATTATAAGATATTTGATGATTTTAGGAAGAAGTGCTGGCTCATTTGAGAAGGATTCCATTGTCAGTTGTAATGCATCAGCAAACTCATCCTGTAACTCATATATCTTCTTTGCCAATGGATGGTTTATTTCAGGACGATGAACATAAACTGTATAAAAGAAAATTTCATTATTACTACATGAAAAAGTTATTGGTGTGATGAATAGTTAACATTATTAAATTTAGTAATGTGTTTGATGTGTGCAACGAGAGCACTAAAGTGCATACCCTCGCCACAGTCTGTGTGTAACAATTTTAATAAATTAAGAGAAAAATAATTAGTGAGAGTTTTGACACAGAAAAGAAGCTTCAGCATGTAAAAACTTAGTGAATGTTTTGAGACAGTGATTTTTTGTTTTTTAGCCAGAGAAGAATCTCCAGCATGCTTGCTGCACTGCTGCAGCAATGTAAAGGTGTGGCTGCAATGAAGGTGTGGCTCAATCAAGCCATGCTCCACCCGCACACACAGTAATGGTGGCACATGGCTCTAAGTGGTGAAGAAAGCTTTAGTTTTTCTTGACTTTTAAACAGTTTAGCATACACTTGTTAGGCTCTATTTGTTGCATACAAACGTCTATTGAGCCCCTGATGTTTAAAGACTCTGGCCGCTACTTCGGGAGAAGAGAGCCTCGTGTAAACTCACAAAAGTATGAATTTTTGGGCTACCATATCTTTAAAACGAAGATGATTCGAGCAATTCCTCTCATATTAATGAAAGATTAGGCTTTGCTTTATTGTTTTATCTGCCCAGTTGCTCACACTATGAAAAAGTTGTCGGAGAACCGACCTACGTTTGGCGACTTTGCCAGCTTCTTACTCCACGGAAAAGAAAAGTATAGCATTCCCAAGACGGAGAATAACTTTTTCTAGAGCCAGTGTTGATTATAAGACTCTCCAGGACTAGACAAGAAAGCAGTGTCAGCTCAAAAGTGGAGGCCAAGCGAACACACACACACAGACAGGACGACTGCTTTACCCTCGCTTCCACGCCTACGCGTGGGATCGGGTAACGAATGCACTATAGCACATGCCCTCGCCACAATCACCAATGT